GGGGGGGGGGGGGGGGGGGGGCTGTGTGGACCTCTGGGGGCCACAGTGACCTGAGGAGCTTACAAGGACCCTCAGGAGCCATGAGGATATAAGGGAGCTGTGGGAACATGTGGAGGCTATGGGGCCAGCTGGGACTTTTAGGTGTCTGTGGGAACCTGCAAATACTGTGGGGACCTCAGGAGAGTCTGCAGGAACATGTGGAAGTTGTGAGGACATGCAGGGCCCTGTGGACTCTGGGGACCTGTGGGAGCTATGAGGGAATACAGGGACCTGTAGAAGCCATGGGGACCTGAGGGGGCTGTGGGGACATGCAAGTACTGTGGAGACTGTGGGAGCCATGGTGAACCCGTGGGGGATGTAAGGGGACACCAGGACCTGTAAAAGCCATGAGAAACTAGGGGGCTGTAAGTGGACACAGGGGCCTACGGAAGCTGTGGTGACTTGTGTTAGCGCTGGGCACCTGTGGGAGGTTAAAGGGACACACAGGGACTGGTGGGAGCTGTGAGGACCGATGTGAACCTGTGTGGGGTTACAGGGAATACACACGGACCGGTGGAAACTATGGGGACCCACAGCAGCCGCAGCAATGCACAGTCCCCTGGGGGGCTGTGCGGAGACCACATGCGGAGGCCGCAAATAGAGTGCCGGCCATGCGGCGGGCGGTTCCCGCTCCCGGCGGCCGCGGGGCGGCACTGGCCCGCCCTTCCGCCTCCTCCCCGCCCAGGGGGGATGGAGAACGGCCGAGGGGGATGGACGGCGGCTCGGCCATAAGTGAACCCCGCTCGGGTGGGTCTGGCTACGACTGCACCTCCAAGTCGCCTTCCGCCCGGCAGGTTTTTCCTCATAAACCCGAGCTTTGCCTCACAGGTCCTTCCAAGCGCTTCCCGGTGGCAGCAGTGGATGAGATCCTGAGGGATGTGGTGGAGAGTTATCTGAGGGAGCAGCGCTACGAGCCGGCGCAGTGCAGGGAGGTGGCGAAGGACATCACTGAGGTAGGAGGGAGCAGGTGTGGACATTCTGCCCGCGTGGCTCGATGGGGTGTGAGAGAGGTGGCTGCTGGGGAACTCCCCAGATATTCCTCAGAATACCTATAAAATGTGAAATAAAGGGTGGAGGAGGCTGTTAAGGGTTGCTCTGAGGAGGGTGCGCGTGGATACTTGTTAATTAATAGAATGGTTTGGGTTAGGAGGGACCTTAAAAATAATTTCGTTCCACTCCCTGCCATGGGCAGGGACACCTTCCACTCTCCCACGTTGCTTCAAGCCCCGTCCAACCTGGCCTTGGACATTTCCAGAGAGGGGCAGCCACAGCTTCTGTGGGCAACCTGTGCTGGGGCCTCCCCACCCTCACAGCCAAGGATTCTTTCCCAATATCCAGTCTAACACCATCCTCTGTCAGTTCAATAGCATTCCCCCTTGTCCTGCCCTGCTAAACGTCTATCTCCATCTTTAAAAGACACGGACTAAACTTGTTTTTCTCTTGCAGGTGGTTAAAGCGCGGGTGAAAGACCTCGTGATCCCAAGGTACAAGATTGTGGTGATGACACATATTGGGCAGCTGGATGAGCAGAGCATGCAGATTGGGAGCAGGTGCCTATGGGATCCTGTGAGCGACACGTTTTCATCATATGTGTTCAAGAACACTTCACTGTTTGCTGTTACAAATGTCTATGGTGTGTATTTTGAATAGGGAGGTAGTCAAGCTTAACAGCAGGAGAAATGGAAGTTCAGCCTAACTCTTCCTGTTTCTGTTGTTGAAAACATCTCTGAAGGACCTGTTTTGAAATGTGGCTGCTGTGAGCCTTTGGGTGAATGTAATTAACTGTTTCCCAGAGCTTTCTCTGGGAAGTGGTTTTCTCTGACACATCGTTTTGCACCTGATGCTTGCTACTTTCAGAACTTTCCCTGCAGGGAAAATATATTTTAAGAATATTCCCTATAGTGTTTTTTATTCCCTGAATTTGCCTTCATTCCATGGTCCCCAAGCAGAAACCACAGAGGGTTTTTTGGAGAGTAAAACAAGAGCATTTTAAGACTATCCCTGTTAATGATGTTTGCAGGCAGTTGGTGCATGCCAGGCCTGAGCACAGAAAAGGTGGCTGAGAGAAGGTAGCTGGTTGTGCTTGAATCATAGAATCCCCAACTGGTTTGGGTTGGAAGGAATATTAAAGCTCATTCAGTTCCACCCCCTGCCATGGGCAGGGACACCTTCCACTATCCCAGGTTGCTCCAAGCCCCGTCCAACCAGGCCTTGGACACTTCCAGGGATGGGGCAGCCACGTCTTCTCTTGGCAACCTGTGTCAGGGCCTCACCACCCTCAGAGGAAAGAATTTCTTCCCAATTTCCAATCTAACCCTGCCTGCTTTAAATTTGCTACCATTCCCCCTTGTCCTGCCACTTCATGCCCTTGTCAGTCCCTGTCCATCTAGGAAGAAGACGACCAGTGAAGGGAAGATTGTTTTTAAATGATATCATGTTTAGAGTACATAAATCTGACATACCTGGGCCCTTCTAGTGAAAGTGCTTGAATTGAGAATAATGAATTTCAACTGTGGTTCTCAGCCAATTCCTGCCCTTGGATAAGAGAGGCAATACAGCCTTCAGCTCAGAAATGTGTTTTCAGTCTCCCTGGGTGCAAATTAACTGACTGTTAAGTTGGACTTCTAGGAAATGTTACTGAAAGCAGCTGGATTAGGAGATAAGCTGTGGGGTTTGCCTGTGCAGTTTAGAGGCTGGTGCTGATGATCCCAGGTCTCCACCACTGGTTGGGGCCTGGCTGACCTCGCAGTGTGACAGAGCTTTCTGTGCCTTGCTCTGATTCTGAAACCAGACTTTTTGCTACTCCTGTTTCCTGGCTGAAACCTGCTGTTGGATTTTTCTGAGTAAGAAGACTAACTATCATAAATTGCTGATTACATTTTACCTGCAAAGCTGAAACTAGAACAGTAGTTAGTTAGAAAGAAATATTTGTACTCATGACTGAGTTTAACTGATCCTCTTGTAAACACAGTGAAATCCAGTCAACCTGAACTATCACTGGAGCCACTTGCTGGTGTGCACTATGACATTTAACACTCAAAAGGGTAAAGCTACAATTAAAGAACACAACTGAACTAATTGTGGTTTATATCATGATTATTTTAATCCGTGGAAGCTGTGATACTGAGCCTTGGCAGCCCCGTTTCAGCACAGGGAGCTGATCTCCCTCCTGCTGCAGCCCACGTTGCAGCAGGATGTGGTGAGTAGCTTGGCTGCCTCACGCTTGCTTAGCACAGACATTTTGCTGGTGTGGTGCAAGTCTTGCTCTGGCTTGGACTTGACCTCGTGGGTTTCTTCGCGGTCAGTCCCCAACCTCTGGTCTGTGTAGGTTGAGGAGTCGGCGTCACTGTTGTGTGGGAAAGGCTGGGGGTTTTCACTCTCTGTTGCAAAAAAATTACAAGCTAAGAGTTAAAAGTCACGGAAAGATGAGTAATTTAAGTATTTATCTTTACTAGAAAGACACACCAACCTACAGCCAGGGAACTGATGGTGTTACCCTCCATGTTTCTGATGTGAGTAACCACCATGTACCGGATCACTAACTTGCTCACAGTTTGTGAGCAATGTGTTTCAAAACCCAGTAATTCATGGATTTATATTTAGGAGTATTCTTTGTTGCCTTGTCAGTGTTACACTGATATATTTGCCTCCGAGGGAAAAACTGCCTAGATGTGCAAGTGGCACTTGACCGGCACAATAACTTTGACCTGCCTGTGGGATTCCCAACATGCAGGTTTTACATTAAGGCATCACCTGCACCACAATTTCATAGTCCTGGGTGTTCCCACTTCAATTACACTTGCAATTCAGCTGCATTTTAAACACCTTTGTATGGTTTGTAAAGGTGTAGTAGTTCTTGCTTAGTTTAGCACCAGACTCTCAGGGAGAGTGTTGTGGGTGGCTCTCTTTTTGTATTTGTTTAGAGCTGCTGCTATAAGAGAATTTTCCAAAAATGCAGGTGTGGGAAGTGCAGAAAGTCTCTATTCCTGTCATCTGCCTACTTATTTTTTTGTTTTCTATATATTTTAATCTAACAGTACAAATTCCTAGCAGTGCATGTAATAATGGCTGAATTTTCTGGCTATCCAAAAATGTGCTAATGAGTATAAATATATATGACAGCTTGTGAAGATACTTGCAGAGTAAATATTCAACATGCTTTAATTATAATATTCTTAAGTTGTGATAAAGTTTCTGGTTTCTAGTAGGGAAAGTGCAGGCAGCAGTAAGACACTTGCACTGCCTGCAGCAAAGCTCATCACTGGCACTTGAAACGGGATGGCAGAGAGATTTTCAGTGATAGCCTGATTTAACTCCTGTTCCTCAGGTGGACTTGGAAAATCATGAGCTAAATGGTTTTTCTTTAGCAGAATAGCACACAGAGGTAAGCCAGGCAAGCTGAAAGGAGAGAGAACACGTGGAGCTGCAGCGCTTCGCTTACTGTCTCCCAGTGCAGCCCATGCTGATGGTGCTGGAGCTGTTGAGGGGAGCAGTGGGAGTGGAGGGCTCCCGAGGCACAGCGTGCAGGGGATTTGCTGCTTCTGAGTCCCCTCGGAGCTGGATGCACTGGGGTTGAGCCTGTGATGCTTCATTGGGTACTTACCCAAGAGGTAGTGATGATCAGTCAGATGCCTCTTCCAGCGCGAACCGCCGCAGGTGAACACGACGGCTCTGACAAAGTCTCTCCCGCAGAGCCTCACCGTGTTCCCTTCCCCTTGTCCTCCCTGTGCCATGGTCAGGAGAGTGAGACAGGCCAGTGCCAGCGCTGTGCCCCTCATAGTGCTGAGGGTTCTTCGTGCCTGGTGTGGGCAGGGCAGGAGGGACCAGCCAGGCCGAGTGGGGAGCTCTGCTGGAACCTTCCCATTTATACCCACAGCCCGTGCGCTCCACTGGATAACGGCCCATTCTGAGAGTGACTTCATGTTTGCTAGAAACATGTTAATCACTTGTTTCCGGTCATGTCTGAAGTGCTTTGGGATCTTGGTCAGGTATTAAACTCTTCTTAAGGCTGTGTAACTGCTTTACTAGGAACACATTTGGTATAACATGTTTATGGGGTACAGGCTCAGGTGGACGCTGTTAATGTGTGTTCTGCAAGAGCAAAAGGGTGTTTATGACGTGATCTGCAGGTAATGTGTTCTGTGTCTGTTCCCCACAAAGGAGTGCTGAGTAGCCTGTTACCCAGCCCTGCCTGTTATCACAGTTTAAGCAAAATTGGGTCCTTCAGTGTTAGTGGTCTCAAAGAAAAAGGGAGTTAACTCCTTCCCGTGAAGTCTGCAGTTGTGCACCTCTTCATTCCCCTGCCTTATTCAAAAGCCAAGCTGGTGACTGAGGATGCTCGGGAGGAAAAACCTGCCAGTGCCAGGCACCCATGAGAAAATCAGATATTAAGGGAGTTTGGGGGCTGTGAGGCCTGTGGTTGTGGCCCTTGTACAGAAAGCTATAGAAAAGAGGGGGAGATGGCACTGAAGAAAGCACAGAATAGCTACATGTCAGCATCCTGGCCATCCTTTGATTTTTGGTAACACCTGGAAGACAGAAGTGGGTCCACTAAAGCAGAGGGGAGCTGCTCTGGAACCAAGTATCAGTAAATTGGTTACAAACACAGCCCCTTCCTAATGCTTGGGACGTTGTTGGCTGCAGTTGCTGTAAGCTTCTAGAAAGAATTCTTGCAATAAAATGCCTTAAGGAGGAAATTTGTCAAATACAAAGTTGGAAATTCCATGTTTAACAAAAAAATACAGGAACTTTATAGATCTTGAGCCCTTCCTAGCACCACAAGAGTTTTCCAGCACTGTAATGTTACACTTAATAAGCTTTCACTGTGTGCAAGATGGGTTAGGATGTGTTATAGCCTTCACAGAAAGCTTGTTTTGTAGCTGCAGCACTGGTAAGCAAACAGCTGATGGAAAATATGTGGTGTATTTTGTTCAGATTTGTAATAATGATTAACACATGATTCACCTTAATGGGTGTCTGTCTTTGAAGTGCACAAAGATTTATTTTATGTCGGGGTAAGTTTGCATGTTCCCTGTTGGATGTGCAGCACATAGAAGGAAGTGAATGTTAATGCATCACAAATGATCCTTAACTTCAGTGATGTGTTAAATGTTGGATGTTTATTGTCAGGGTAATCAGAGAGGCTGAATGTTCTGTATCTATAAAATACATGTCTCCATATGTAATGTGCTCGCCGGGCAGCAGGGCTACAACCTGTGCTTGATCGCTGCTCTGTGGAGATCTTCGTATTTTCTGTGGGCAGGAAGTCCCTGAAAATCTTTTTTTTTCTGTTTCTTCTGCTCTGCCCTCCCAAAATCCAGCCTAGGCAGCCAAACACTGCCTGTTTCCAACCAGCATGCAAGCTGAGCAAGTTCCCTGCCTGTCATCACTCAAAGCTCAGCATTCACCTTCAGTGGTGGGTTATGGACTAAGATGGAGCTGATGGAAGTCCATTTATTTCCTGAGTGGTTTCACAGGGAAGGTACACATACATCTAGTAAGGGCTGAGGTTGTATTGTTGAGGTAATTTTTGGTTTTGAATAACCCAAGGAGAAAAGACCTTGAGCGAAAAAAAAGAATAAAGACTAAAGGAGAAAAGACTATGGAGACCCTCCCATTATCTGTATTACAGAGAAGGCCATCCATGTATTAACAGTGTGTGACCAAGGAGGGGGACTTCCAGGGGAAAAGTTAGGGCATTTGAAAGCAGTTTCTAATTGGTGTGCCTTCAAAGAGGAACTTTAATTATTGCAAAGGAATAAATGGTCATACTACATTGATTCTTTCCTGCTGTTTCCCAACAGAGAAGGGGCAGCAGTTACTGTTAAACAGCTCCAACTGGACAAACGATGTCATGCAAGGTACCAGCCTGTAAAACAAGAGGAAAAAGAGCTGATTCTTCCTTGCAATTCAGTAATGCTATGGTTACCTCTAAGAGTACTCCTGGAAAATAGCCCTTTTTGGCAGACCTGGCTGGATTGCATTTGTACTGTCATGTTTGAAAGCACACACTGATATATCTTGTTTATAAAGGAAGTTAATTTTCGAGGTGATACATGTATGGTAGCTGCACTTAGATGTGATTTTCTGTGGAGTAATTACCTGCCCTGAGCATTAGCTGTAGTACCCCTGTAGTATGGTCATGCCAAGCCTTGTCCATACCCAAGCTTAGGGAGACCTTGCTGCTACAAGAAAAGGGAGTGACAGACATGGGTGATGCTGAAAAGTGGGGCTCTCTCTGGATAACGTGACCAGTTATGCCATGTGCTCAAAGCCTGTGAAGTGAAGCACTTTCAGTTCTGTTCTGGTGACATACCCAGGAAATTATCCCTGTACTGAATAACTGATGAACTTCTCTACTCAGAGGACTCAGGCAGCTTCATGTGGTTTGTGGGAAAAAAACCACTAATTTTGTTTTCTAAGTTAAACGACAATGGTCTCGCTTTTTGTTTTTAAAGGATATATCATTGTGATTTACAACACTTGGCAAACGAGGCTGGTAATTACCAGGATTTCTACCTGTGATGCTGACAGTTGTGAATTACTGATCCATAATACCTAAGAATGAGGATAGATTGACATCAGCATTTTCCTTCTCTCCAGCTTTAGTGTTTTGTGCCATGTAATCTGAAGGGATTTATAAAAAGCACCAGTCCCACTTTATAAACTGGCCACAGTTACAAGGGGCTGCTGGGCCTGACACTCAGACGGTGAGATATTGTGTTGGTGGCCAGGAGAGGATGAGTTGTGTCTGTGGTGGAGCAGGTGAGGGCATTCAGCCCAATAGAGTCTCCTGCAGACTATTTAGAGGGAGTGTCACCTCCCTGCCCTTGCCTCCTAAATCCAGCTGTGGTGAACCTCTGGATTTGCAACCAAGTGAAACCTGCAGCTGACCTTCACTTGCAATCAATGAACCTGACATTGACTGAACTATTCCTGAAGTTTCTAGTGGTATGGCAGCAGAAGAGCAGGAACAACCTCAGCTTTTATCTGGTTATGGAACTATATGCGATCCCACCTATTTCAGTATTCATTAGTTGGATCTTTCACAGTAGCCCCTTCCTGAGGAACGAGGCCCCAGAGCAGCACTCAGCCCTGCGAGCACACCCCCGTTCTCAGAGCGTGTCGTACCTTGTTGCTGCCGGGAGCATCCAGGTTGAACAGCTCCCACACCCCAACTCTGCCAAGGCTGTCTCCCAGCAGAAGGCAGTTGGTGTTCTTGGCAAAGAGGATGGACGTGAGATTGGCTTCTGGGTTGGCAATGTGGGAGATCAGGGGGTTGAAGCTGCAACCCAGACAAGGCAGGAGTTAATGGGTACTGTTAATAGTGCAGTGACGTGCCAGTCCAGCAGCCTGAGAAATGCTGCACATTTCGCTTCTTGTGTTCTAGATTAACTCAAAAACTAGGAAGTGAGGCAATATTTTGTTTGGTCTCTGCTAGAACAAAATTCCTATCTGCTAATAACTAAGATATCCTGGTTGCCTGAAACCTGTCCTATTGCCTGATCTGGGGGGTGTTGGGTGATATGTATATTATATTAATAACTTGCATTATGCTACTGCAGGATTTGGGGGTCTCTGGATCCACTATGGGTTTTACACTGTCAGTAATGAATACAGACCAGCTGTGCAAGGCCACAAATAACTGAGCCACCCATGAGTTGTGCATGTGGTGCACAGGAGTGGGAAAACATGAGAAGTATCTCAGCTTCAGACCATCATATTTTATAAAAGTAGCTCAGTTTTGATATTTTGCCTTTTAACTATGGCAGTGATAAAATCTCTGATTTCTGCAGGAAAAAAAGGCAGTTTTACACTTTATCAGCTCCATGAGGCATCCAGCTCCTGTTCTAACCCCAGTTCTCTGGTAATACCATCTGCTTTTATAAAATGAGTATTTCAAGATGCAATGCTTTCTATAACTGAATAAGCTGTCACAATCTGATCTGATAATTTTGATTAGGCAATAATTTGTAGCCTTTGTGCCGCAAGGTTTCAGAATCTTCATTGAGAAAGGTCATTACTTACATGCTGACACTCAGGTCCCAGATTTCTACTCTGCTTTCCTTCACTGCTGCAAATATGAAGGCTGATTTTGGGGACCACATGATGTCATGAACAAAAGCTGTGACAGAACTGAAAGTCAGAAGGGGCGTCTGTGAGTCCCGGTGCCATAAAATGGTGCTCCAGTCTGCAGAGCAGCTTAGGAACATGTCTGTGCTGGATGGATTCCAGGCCACTCTGTACACAGGACCCTTGAGTTTGGGGAGAAACAAAAAAACGACTTGGTGTTACTGTAGAGCTACAGAATCTTTTGTAGAGCTACCCATCTTTCTCTCAGAAGTAAGACTATTTAACTGTACAGGACAATCACATTACTGATTTTTTTTTTTAAGCCAGGGCTAAAACTTTAAACAAGTTTATAGAAGTTTTAATAAGTTACTTTAAAAAATCCCTATAATATAGAAAGTAATCCTCTAAGACTGTGATGCTTCATGCCATGGGAATTCATTCCTAATATAAGAAAAGAAGTTTAGGTTTCTTTTGTTGCAGATGTTGCATTTAGTAAATATAAGCAAAGGAACTGCTACATTTTTGAACTTAATTGAATGGTTTCTGCTGTCATTATGTTTTCTGTGTATCACTCACTTTATGGCCTCTGTATGTCCCCAGAACCTGCTCTTTGCCTGAGCACGAGCACTGGTAGATGTGGCCCTCATCTGTTCCAGCAAGATAAATATCTGTATCCTGAAAGAAAGGTACAAAAAGCCTCAGTTGGATTAGCCTATTTATCGCTCATCCAGAAATCATACAGGGCTGGATGAGTTTGGCAGAGACAGGGTCTGAAGAGCTGAGGTGGAGCTGCTTTGTTGGGCTGGGGTGTGTGTGGTGGGTATAGAGGGGCCAGAATGTTGCACATTTCCTGTGTGTGCTCTCTCAATCAGTGCAGAACTTAAGCTGGGATTTTTGACTCCTGAGAACCTCGGACGTTCAGCAGTCCGTGTGGAAAAGGCATAAATTCTTCAAGTGCTCTGTGGAGGAAAAACTCAGTTGGATAAAGAGAAGCAAAGCATCCTAAGTCCTGGACGTGGGAGATGTTGAACAAATCCTCACAGACTTGGTGAACACACAGAGGGAAACTGCCCCAGGGTCTGCCCAAGGAAATGTGAGAAGCATGGCTGAGAGGACAGAGCTGTTCATGGGCTTGGTTTACCATTTCATCCTTTTGGGGTAAAACTTATGCTTTAAATCCCAAGTCCCCAACTAGTTCATACTAAAGTAGGTCCAGCTGAGGATCCCACCTCTGCTGTGTACTTTTCCTGGGTAAAACTTCAGCCAGGATGGACTTTCTGAGCCTACCTCTGGGTGAAAGTCAAAGCACATTCCAGCTGCGTGTT